CACAGCGCCGGAGGGGAGGGGAGGGGCGAGGCGAAAGAGGAAGAGCAGATCCCCACAGCCTAGATTGGCACGTGATTGGAGGACAGCTCCATCCGCTCTCGGCCAATGACAACGCCTCCTAACCCCTTAAAGCTACAGCCAGGAGCCCGCGACAGAAGGACGCGCTGCCCCCGGTTCCATTTCGCCAGCGTAGTCAGCGGCTTTGGCAGCTACAAGTAGCGGCTCAGATGCTTGTTCTCAAGGAAACGGCACGTCGCGGAGCCGCGTGGGCAGCCGCAGCGCCACGGAGGACACATCCCCGGCCGAGATGGGCGAGGGCGCTGGTCTCCGTGCGGAGCGTTCACGCGCGAGGAAGGGGGCTTCTCAGACCCGGGAATATGCCCCGCAGGGGAACCAGCCGGATCGCAGCGCGCTCTGAACACCCGGCAACTGCGGCCGGGTCTGTCCGCGCCTCCCGAGGCTCCTGCGAGGATTCAGCCCCGAGCAGGCGCTCACGTCCAGCGCGCTGCCGAGGCCTTTCCGCGCGTTTCGCTTCCAGGCGCCGCAGACTCTGTCCGAGTCCCCTCCCTTGCGGGGCGTTTGCTCCCTGCGAGTAAGTGGCTCCAGCTGCATCCGAGGCCGGGCTCCGGCGTTTCCCAGGCACTTCCCGGCTGAAAACGCGCAGCCACAGCAGAGGAGCCGGGATCGCGGACAGCGCGGGGATGAGTCGCACTGCCAGGCGGGGAAGGCCTGCTGCTCCCGATTGGCCCTCTGAGTTCTGCCGAGGATCCCAGTGGCGGCGGCAGACATGGGCGTCTCCCCACCGTCCTGCACCACAAGGGCACTCTACGGGGGGAGGGGGGCTGTTCACCGGGAGAGGGGTGACTTTGGAGAGGCTGGTCTGGGCCACGCGTCCCGCCCGGAGTCTGCGTTCGCACCAGCCACTCCGGTCTCTAAGTACCGGGAGTGCTGCGCCCACGGCCCGCTCCCAGCCCCGGGACAGAGAATCAGAGGAGCATCACCATTCCGGCCCGGGATGAAGGCGGAAACTGTGACGCTGGCGCGGGGGGCGGCCCCCGCCGTCCCTGGCTTGGCTCCGCCCCGCTGTGTGATCTGCTCCGAATCGAACCAGGCGCTGCTGTGGACGGTCCGCTCGCTGGGCAGGCTGCGTTCTCCTTCCGGTCCGATAGTTTATCAGGAGGCTAGCCCCTGTATCTGGAGCTGAGATCGCACCCTGCCGCTCCGAGGCCGCTTCCCGATGCAGCGGCCCCAGGGTGGGCGGTACTCGAAGCCACCACCCTGTCCACTCCAGAACGTCCCCCGCCTCCCTTCCTTCAGGACATTCCCTGACTGCTCCATCTGGAAGGGGGGGGGGCCGCCTGGAGCCGCCACAGAACCTCTCAGCTGTCCCCGGAGTCTCCATCAGGGACAGCGGGTCCCGCCCGGGCGGGCTGAGCGCCACGTGAACCCGGCCTGGCGCGTTGTCGCTGACATCAGTCACCTGCAGTGGGCGTCCTGGGGGCAGAGCCGCGGCCTTTGACACCCTCCCCCCGCCGATTTCGGACTCGGTGCCCCCTATGGGTCCCAGTGTTCCGGCCTCTCGGGTGCCCGCGGAACACCCGCCGCAGGGCCTGGCGAGTGTGGCTGCCAGGGAACCGCGGATCTCTTGGCCGGAAGCTCCCTGCGGCTCCCTGTCTAGCGCCTTCTCCAAGGCCAGCGCCGGGCGCTAGCTGCCGCCTCTGCGACCCTCCCCGCTCACCGAGAACCCGCGAGGTGGCGCCAATGTCCCAGTCTTCGGCCGGCTCCGGAAAGGCGCCCGGCCCCGCGGCCACAGCGATCTCCAAGCGGGCGAGGAGCCCGGCGCGGTCGTTCACCCCCCGAACTTCTGCTCCCGAGCGCTGGGAGGCCAGCGGGAGGTTCCGGGACAGCGCGGGCTGGGGCCGCAGAGCCGCTCGCTGTCTAGCCGCTCCTCCACCACCAAGAGCCCTTCCGCGCCCAGGCGGGCAGGATCTGCAGCTTTGGGCGGAAAGAGGCCCCGAAGGGCGACCGGTCCTGCTTTGGGGTCACGGCGAGCCAGCCTAAAACACGCCGGAGCCCGTGGCTGGGTCGCTGGCCTTGAGCTGGATCACAAGTGTGCGCGCTCCGGCAGGCTGGCCCTGGAGCCGACCGGACTGGCAGCCTGAGCTTTGCCAGCCGGGATGGCGGAGACTGCCCAGCCCAGGGCTGCCCACGCCGGGCGGTGTCGGCTCCTTTCCCCCCCCCCAACGCCCCTCCCTGCGGCGCCAGGCTCCCCTCGCTGCTTTCTCTCGGCTCCCGCGCCCAGGTCCCGGGGGACTGTCAGGAACCGCTGCGATCAGCCGGACCTCAGGCGCTCGGCTCCCTGCCAGGCTGAGCCCCGCCTCCCGGCTGCGCTGCCGGGAAATGCTGCCTGCGAGCCGAGGAGGACTCAGCAGCCGGGCTCCAACCCGCGGCTCGATCCCCGGGGGTCCCCCGGGGCAGAGCAGCGAATCCAGCCAGAAGCCACGTGCCCAGGGCCACAGAGCGGAGCCTCGCCTCGGCCCTTCCGCTATTGCCCCGGCTGCCCTTGCCCAGCTGCGCCGCTGGACACACGCGCGGAGCCTCGCTGCTGGCTCCCTGCTCCGGCTCCATCCGCCATCCCTTGGCAGCGCAGGGAGCCGCCACGTCGCGGGAGCAGGGCCGGGTCGCCGCAGCTTCAGCACCTCATTGGCAGACAGCGCCACAGCGTCCCCGCCAATGGCCGCCGCCGGCGCGTTCTTAAAGCGACACGGCTCCTTGTCTCACTTCCTGCTCCCCGCCTCAAAACCCACAAATGCTGCATTCAGCCCGGCACGGCTCCCAAACTGCAGGCAGCACCAGCCGGAAACCGCAGGCTCTTCACAGCTCACGGATTTACCGCAGCGACTCGCTCCTCGCGCTCAAACAACAACACGGAACGGAAAGATCCCACGTCAGATTGAATGCACAACGGCCGCTTACCGCAAACAACGGGACTAGCCGGCACTGCGCACGCTTCAGCCAGTGTGTTGCTGACTAAAACGCACAGCAGGTGGATTTAATTCTTGACTTCTCGTTCAAACCAGAGTCTACAGCAAAACCCTGTCCACCTCGTCCAAACCCGCAACATAACCGAAATGTAAAACCCCAGGCGACCCCATACACAGCAGAGAGTCAGAAGCAAATGGTATTGCCTTGTCCATGTACGGAGCAATGTACAGTGAGAAAAGCAGTGAAATATTATTCCATAACCCTAATCGCTGTCCGTACGTGTTAAAACACAACAGATTGTGGTAGTGTGGTTAGTAGGGTTGGTGTTGTGTTCTTGAAAGTCCATTCTCTAGCCATGACAACGTCTCACAAAGACACACGGAGGAAGAGCACTTATGATGTGGCAACCATTTGGAACACAACCAGTAATTGCTACGTGTTTTACAAATCACCTTTTCAGATGAAATCACATCGGAAACGACAATCGCCTAAATGTTACCTACAGGTGCAATGAAGTCAGAAACGGTGACTAATGAGGATGGAATTCCACACCATGCCCTTGACGTTGTAGTAAAGTAGAGGAACCGAGCGCGTCTTTCTCTGATCCCGTCACCTCCGATCTCACTTACCCACTGAACTGATTCCGAGCCACACCCGGGAGACTCAAACCCTAGTTGCGAAGCTGCCAAGTGGAGCTTGCGCCTGTTTCCCGCTGAGCACAGGGACAGCCACACGGGCGGAGCGTCTACACAGCTGTGAGCGCCAAGCACTTGGACAGCGATTGGGGAAACGTGTCCCCGCTGCACGATCCCTGATCCCCTCTATTGCGCTGAGGAACCCTCTCGCCCCAGATCCTGACCACACAATAACACAGGAAGTAGTAAAAATAGGGTGGCCGAGGAGAAGGACCGTGGGTCTTAGCTGAACTGGGGGTTCAGACCGAGCTTCCATCGCTGACGGGCACAAAACCCCCAAACCTCCCCGTGCGTGGGGCGATTCCACGAGCCCTGAATGTCCTCGAGTCCAAGCCGGCGCTTTAGTGAGATCGGTCCCTGGAACTAAGCTACGCAGCACCCCCACCTGGGACTCCAGGGGAAGCAGGGAACAAAACACTGGGGGACCGCGGGGATCCCTGCCCTGGGGGGAAGCGCTCGCTCGCTGCCCGCACAACGCAGAGGAACCCCACCCAAGTGGCGTGGGCGGCCACAGCAACCAGGCAAAAGCCGTCGCGGGTCACTTTCTCGCGCGGAGACCTGCCCCCTTCCCGGATGCGCGCAGAGCGCTACTTACCTCGCCGGCAGCGGGGCCCCTGCTGGCCGTGCCCGCGATCTGGTGATAGAATCCGGGCGGGCAGGCGCGCACCGTGTTCTGCCGGCTCCCCGGGGGCGTGGGGGCGGAGAGTAGGGCGCTGTGGCGCGAG